AGGTTAAAAAAGGTAAAGGAGTCATTCTGCATTGCCAGCTGAAATAGCCAGAATTTGCTGTACTGCTCTGTGAATGCAAAGCTTGTAAACTGTGCTAGCCACATTTTTAATCCCCTTTCTTGTCCAATTAAAAAGAGACATAACACCCTTTAATTGCTGCAGGGAGACTGGGATATATATACACTTATATACATACAAGTATACACATATGCAAACATACAGTTAAAAAAAGAGTTCATTTAACAGCATACATTTTAGGAAAAAATTAAGATGACCTTTGCCACTTTTTGGACAAGATTATTCTAGTTAGCTTTGGGACAAACAGGACTTAGGATAAATCAGAATCTGGCATGCACATTTTCCCCCTTTTCACTTCCAAAACACCAGTAGCAAAGCAATTTCAGCTGCTGACAGATGGGGGCTGGGGGATGGTGCTTTACTTTCAGCTTGCATGCCCCCACACTGAGTGTACCACATGCCGAGAAGAGGAACCACATCAGTCTGACCCAGCTTACCCAGTATCTGTACAGATCAGGTGCTTCAGTGGGGCTTTTTGGCCTTTTATCTAATAGCTGATGGAAAAGCACCACTAAAGTGCATGATTTATACAGACGTTGGGGAGTTGGGTCAAACTGCATGGTTCCTCATCCGGTAAAGCACTGTTTTGTTTTGTTTTGTTTTGTTTTGTTTTGTTTTGTTTTTCCACATCTTTCAGCAGCCTTAGATGTAACTATTTCACTTTAATTCCTAGCATTACTTTGATTTGGGGAGCCAATACTTTCAGTTGAATCATGCATCACTAAGGCTGCTTGGAGGTCAAATTTTGAAGCTGATATCTTTGACGGTGCCTGTTTTAAGGCATATCATGTATACCGGTAGTTTTCTTATCTTTTCGAAATAGGGCCTTCTGAGGAAAATGGGCCTGGGCTGTATGCATAATTACACACCAGGAAATGTCTAGGCTTTCAAGTTATGGTGTGAGTCAGAGTTAAGTCTGCTGAAATCCACAGACTAACAAGAGTACCTGGTTGGTACGAGATCAGACTCAGGCCCTATGGCTTTCAGTCTGCATCCATTTATATGGGTACAACTCCCAGCAAGCCAAATATTATTCTCATTAGCTACATAGGTGTATTTTTCAGAGTAACTCCTTGTAGCTCTGAGTTAGATCTTCCTTTCACTAGTATGAAGTTACTTCTGATTTAAGTAAGAAACAAATGGAGCCCATTGGCCTCAGTTGAATTATTCCAGTAATACACAGCAGTAAGCAAGATGAACTTTGGCCCAATGACTTGGGTATTTACCAACACAGATGGATCTTTCTCACCTTGTGACTTATGTATATGGTTTAGCCTTGCCCTTTATAAAACAAACCAAAAATACTGTACTATCAAATGATACTATGCCTTTAAAACATCTAGTTCTTATAAGGCTTAAATTCTTTAGAATTACACAAACGAAGTAGTGTTTTTAGGAGCCATACTACATCAGCATGCTAAAATAAAATAGATTGTGTGATTATTTTTACATGGGTAGAATTATATGATATGTTGTTTTAGAGATATATAAAACACCTTTGGTAGGAAAACACCTAACAAAATTCTGTAGAAGAAAAAGGGTGTAAAATATAGTATTTTCTGTCTTTGTTACACCTTCTTAAAGAAGAGTTTTGTTAGGTGTTCAAGGGTAACTTATGAATGTATTTTCTTCTATATCCATACTTTTCCTGGAGATGTGCTTTTTAAAGCATAGTAGGTCTCAGCTCAGCCAGCATTATTGTCAGCCCAAGTTCTTCCAGCAAAGAGTTCCATAGCCATGAACCTGATTCTGATTATTCCAGTAATAAACCTAGATCCCTCCATCGGCATTAGCCCTGAGGAGTTTAGCTGTCTTCTTGAAGTTTTTGTGGTCTCTGTGGCCCCAGAGCCATTAAAGTAGCCTGGCCCCAGTCTATTAAAGTTTATAGATCAGGGTCAGGACCTATTCTGAAGTGTGTGGGCAGACAGGCCATGAAAGCAGTTCTAAGCTCTTCGTGTGCTCTTTGTCATGTGTTAGACAGTTTGCCAGATGTTACACCTACTTCCACATTATAGTGATTGCATTCTTAGGGTGGACTGTATTGTTGTAATAGTCTTAACACCAGGGAGACCAAGAGTGCTTCACCCACAGCTCTTTTGCAAGATGGAATAAGCTATTCCTCATTGCTACTGCTGTGGCAGTCTGCATATCCAGGAATTATGGTAAGTCCTGTATGGTCTCATGTTATTTCACCAGTACAAGCCCAAGTTACCCTTGACAGTTGGTAGGGCTACAATATTTACACATTTTCAGGGGGCTTCCATCCAATTCCTGTTGATATTTGTTCTGTGTATTATGGAATAGACTAAAGCCAAATGCTCTTTTCCATCTGGGGTGTACTTTTCCAGTTGGTCTAATAAAAGGTATCATTTTGGAACCAAGAGTTCTAGTTTTTTTACTTCTCTATCTGGTGCTCTTTTCCTGACTTAGGGACACCTTGCTTAGAAAGCAGGTGTAGTCCTGGGGGGAAGAGAATGTGATAGCTGCACATTGGTGGTAAATGATTTTGTAGCATCTTATGATTTCTCCAGGCAGTAGGCTGTATGAATTAAAAGGGAGGATAAAGGAGTATGTACCTTTTTTTATAGCTTTGCATGGTGGCAAGGCACAATTGCCTGCATATCTGGTTGAGTTCTGCTGAATAGGAATAACTGTACTGTGTCTCAGTACTGCTCCAGTTAATCCAACATTTTTTACACATAGCATTAGCACCGTCAGAAAGATGGTGATGAAGGGCACAGGGAGATTTGTTATTACTCTGCCACCAGTGGCTGGACATTCATCAGTAGGACCACTTGTGATTTCTGCTTCACTGGACCTGGAAGATGAGGCATCTAGTATATAAGAAGATTTGAGTGCTGTTGAAGTTAGGGTTTCCTAACCCTCTAGATATCCCTTCCAGAAAAAGAGGGAGTAGGAAATCGTCAGGACCCTTAACTGGTTGCTTTGTCTGGATTCCGTTTTCTAATACTGTATTCTTCAGTTTAGTTGGTGGCTTGTTTACCTTGAAAGAGACATTGGTTACCCTGGTTGACATCCTGAGGCCAGAGGTTCTTCCCTAGACTTGCCTGGGTCAAGTGGTGGGGAAGAAGTTAGTTTCCTAATTGGTGGGCTTGTGAACTGTGTCTGAATTTTCTGTTCCTTCTGTTTGGGAAATTGGGTTAAATTCCTTCAAGGCAGATGGGATGGGGATGGTTCTTGGGTGACATGCCTAACTCTGCTCTGATTTAGTGAACTTTTCAAAGTCAGATGATGTTTTTCCCCATGTTAGTCCTTTATGTTTATATTTCTCTGTATCTGTGGTCTCCAATCCATTCTTCTTGGGAAACGCATTGTCTGTGGGACCCTCCAGTGATGCTTGTAGCCATTGGAAATTAACAAATTAAAAGAGAAATTGACAGGGAGAGCAAAGTATGATGTTGCCAGCTACCTGTTTCATGCTCTGTATTGTTGCCCTTGAGCCTGTGAAGGCTGGGAATTGCTGCCTTTTATCAGTCAAGAGATAGGCACTCTTAGCTGATTAACAGGTTCTCAGCAAAGAATAGTTCTGCTGGCTGAGATTTACCTGAGGCTTTCTTTGTGGAAGAGCTCCAATATGCTTCCTTTACCACTGCAGCCTCAGTCTGCTTCTGGGCCTCTTGTTTGTAAAGACAGGTTGTAGGTGGATTTTGTGCTACTGGGGTTGCAGCTGTCTGCCCACTTGCTTCATTTTGCTTTGTTTATCAGAAAACCAGATGGGCCTAAGTGAGGACAGGGCTTGTTTTAGGGGTGCCTTGCTAATGTTTCCTGTTACTAGAAGGGACATACTGGGCCATCAAGTCCAGTCTCGTGTGTTCCCAGGCAGCCATTTACCCAAGAAAACCCCATGATTCCATGTCAAGCCCTCGATTAGCTTTTGATTGCACTGTTGTAGTGCAGTGTTGTAAGCAATTTAGACTTCTAAACTCTGTGTCTTTCTGCCCCTCTTCTTGGTGTACTCTAGAACTAAACGGTCCTGTTGGCAAAGTAATATGATTAGTAGATCAGGTGGAAAAAGAGGAGATGACTTTCTTGAGATTATAGGGGGGTGTGTGGGTGGGTGTGTGAGCATGGTGCGTATGTAAGAGGAGGCAAGCAGGAAACAAAATGCACTCACCTAAATAAGAAGCATTCCAACAACCACTCAAACACTGATAATAGCTGAGAAGAGGCAGCTCCTTGACCTCAGTGCTGGTTACAGATCTGTTTGTTCCAGACTCAGAACCTGAGATTAAAGATCCATGGTGCAGGAAGGGAAGAGGGAGCTTGCTGCAGGCTACTACCGACTGCCTTGATGTTTAAGGGCTACAGCAAAGAGGCTTTGCTCTTGTCACCCAGAGAATGCCAGGCAAAGTCATGTCATCTTAGGGACTTGAGGGAACAGTCAAGCACAAGCAAGACAATATCTGTATAGGTTTCCTCCTTGGTTTTAATCCATTTCCCTGAGTTCTGTGATCCTTTTGGTAAAGGTCTTTTTTTTTTTTAATAATTGCT